TTCCCACTAAAGGTGGTCCCTATTTTTTTTACTTACATTTTTTATGTGCTTTTGAAAGTGCTAGGTTGGCAGAAGCTAGGACAAGTAACAGGAGCTCACCCTGTTACGCGGCACTAGGGATTCGAACCACTGAACTGCCGACCTTTTGATTGACAAGCTCATCGTCTTAGCCACTGAGCCACCGCATCCCATTAAGGCAGCTTACAACCATTAAAAATGAAAGTGATAAAACATAGCAATGAACATTTAAAATATTAAAAGGATGCAATGAAAACCAAGACCAAGTTAAAATGAATCTAAGGAAAGGAGTACATTAATTCAATGAACCATTAAAAGTTGGACAAAATAGATGGATATTGCCATTTTGCCACGGACTGATGGTGTAAGACCCAAACACCCCCTCCTTGGGGAGAACATGCTGGTTGGGGAATTCTGGGAGTTGAAGTCCACACGTTTTAAAGTTGGCAAGATGGGACACCCCTTCTGTAGAGAGACTTAAAACCTAACTATAATTTATTAAAAAATGGTGCTCTCATGTGTCTCCTGAGATAACATGAAACAGAAAACGCAGTTTTGACAATGTCTCTGTCCATTTTTAGACCATGGGAATTTAGCAAATCACATTTCCTAACTTCAAAATCTGGCCTCTACTGGCCTCCTTAAAACCTTTTGTTGCCATGTGCCTTTTTTCCACAGTTGAAGCAGTATTTGATCCTGACTGAAGGACTGGCTGCCTGGGATATAAACTTCTTTAGCTATTTAAATCCAGCTTCAAGAGAGTTATCATATTCAGCTTAGCTTATCCATAAGTGAGTAGGCTGGCATTTCATTGCCCTCTGGAGAGCCATGGGGACATGGCCCGGAAGGAGGTATAAGGTACCCAACTAACAGATCAGATACAGAACACACAATGACTGAAAATGATTTGGATCAACTGTTTGCATTTGGCAATGCTCCTGTGTTTTCTTTTCCCCATGCAGATCAAGACTGTCCCCTCACAGATCCTTTTTAGAACATCCAACTGCATTAAGCAAATGACACCAATTAGGTTAGGTCAGGGGTGGGCTTCAAAATTTTTAGCAAGGGGTTCTCTGCCCAGTTGCTGGGTGGGCATGGCCATGGTGGGCGTGGCCTAGATGGCCTCCTTCACCATGGCAGGGGGAGGGAATTTTTGCCCTTCCCAGGCTCTGGAGGCTTTCTTTCAGCCTCTGGGAGGGTGCAAATGGCCTCCCCAGGCTCCGGAGGCCCTCTGGAGGCTGGAAACAGGCCTGTTCCTGAACTTCCGGTAGGCCCATTTTTCGCCCTCCTCAAGCCTCCGTGCGTGCCCTGCATCCAAAACAGTGCGCTTGGGGACTCCTGGGAGGGGGGTGGTGGGGTGGGCAAGGCCAGCCAAGAGTGGGATTTGCAGTTCTCTGAACTGCACAGACTCTTAGGTAGAGGTTCTCCTGAACCCTTGCGAACGCCCAGCAGCCCACCGCTGGGTTAGGTGATCTTGGGCAAGATGCCCTCAAGAGATGCACTTTCCTTCTCTACTCCCACTCCTTTTTTCCCATTCTCTTCTCTCTCCCACTGGATCCAACCCACATAACTCTCTACAACAGCAGCCTCCCAACCTTTTGGGCATCACGGTCTGCTGCTGTGGAGAGAGGTTTTTCCACCGGAGGGAGTGTAGTTTTGTGTGTTGCCTGCATCTCACGAATGGGGCTTCACTTGTTTTCATGGCCCAGTTGCTGGCATGTCATGGACCAGTGCCGATCCATGGACCGGGGTTTGGGACCCTGCTCTACAGGACAGAATTCTCTCTTCAACCTTGCTTCCTTGGAGACAGGAGGTGGAGAGGAAGGAAGAGCAAGAAAAAGCAATCCCTGCGGAATTTTGGAAATCTGATGGTGTGAGCCCCTGACCCTAGTGTTTAGACCAGTTGAGGAAGGCTAGGATCAAATAAGATACTACAAGGCATGACTGTCTGCTATCAACCTCTTGCAGACAGCAAGAAATGAAGACAGAAGTACCTAGGAGGCTGTGTATAAATTAGTCCACTATCTGTCAAGTCCAGAAACTCCAGAGTCAAGGCGGTTCAAATGAGTACAAGTTTATTCTCTACAAGAATCTGAACTACTAACAGTCAAATCCAATTGGTGGTAGATAAGAATTCAGGGTGGGATAGATTTAGATCTCCTGTGGGCATGGAGGAACTTGAGACTGATGACACATTTGACTCCACCCTCAGGCTCAGCCTGATCATCTCCTATACCAGTGTTGGTGAACTTTTTCGGCAACCAGTGCCGAAATGGGAGCGTGTGCTCCCACATGCCGCAAACCAGAAGAGCAGCTACCTGGTGCGCATGCACGCGCTGGAAAGATTATCTTCCAGTTTCCGGTGCGCCACCTGGTCGTCTGGTTTCTGGCATGCAAGACCAGCTGTCTGGTATGCATGCGTGCCGGAAACCAGAAATGTCAATGAAGCACCCCCCGCAGCTCGCCACCAAGAACAAGCCAGTGCAGCCCACCCCCACCCCGGCTCCCACCACTTTTGCTGAGGAAGTGCAACCGCTTCCCGGCCAGTGTGCCTCTTACTCTGGCACTGGACAGACATTCCTCCCTGCCTGAATGGGCTTCTTTTGCGGCCCCAGCCCTCCAGCCTGCAGCACCAACATGTGTCCACAGTCTGGAGTACCTAGCCAGCTTGGGCGCATGGAGCAGTAGGGCAGCAAGGCAGCCCTGCCCACTACTCCTGCCACCGCCATGGGTGAGGGGTGAGGGGGCGGTGGTGGTTCTTGTGTTGCCGCTTCCGGCCGGGATGCTGGAGCAGCCAGGAGGAGGAGGAGCCGCAGTTGTGGAGGCAAGCTGCCCCAGGAGGGCTGGAGGAAAGCTCAGCTCCTCACACATGGTAATGCCACCAAGGGCTCAGCTTGCTGGTGGGGGAGCATCTGCGGGGGCCAACCCGTCGTTCCTGCTCCTCGCCCTGCAACTGCTGTTACGTCTGCTGCTGCGTCTGCTGCTGCTGCTCTTCTGGGGTGCCGGCTGCGTAGGAGCTGAGCGGCAGCCACAGGGTGCAAGAACTGCTGTCATCCCCTCGCCTCTTACCCTCAGCGAAGGCAGGAGCAGCTGACAGGGCAGCTGGCCACCCAATCAGGAAACACTGCCCTGTTGCCCCATGTGCCCGAGCCGGCCAGGCACTCCGGACCGCAGATGCACATTGGTGCCGTGGGCTAGAGGGCTGGGGCCGTGCAAGAAGCCCACTCGGACAGGGAGGGAGGGAAGCCCTGGCCTGCCCATCCTGGCTGACAGCTCTGCTCCCCTAGGAAGTGACTACTGGGATCCCCTCTCCACGTCTTTGGTCATGCAGGCCATCACCCGTTGCTCTGCCGAGTTCTGGTGCGCCAGCCAGCTGGTCTTCGTGTACATATTTGCACCAAAAACCAGAAGACCAGGTGGCTGGTGCACACATGCACACTGGGCGGCTGTTCTTCCAGTTTCTTGTGCTCCTGTGCATGTGAAGACCAGCTGGCCAGTGTGCCCGACCACTCTGTAGGTAAATTTTGCTAGGGTTAATCAATATTCTACTGTCATTTCAGTGCCATTTCTATCACCCTCATCCACAGATCATGTTTGAAGCAATTTCACGCTCTTAAAAGTGAATGCATACATACTGTATGCCTATAATCTTAATTACAAGAAAACCTTAATATCCTCATGATTTTCTTTCTCAACTGTTGAATGACTAGAATGTCCATCATATTTCTGACCTACTATTGCCTGGATCTGATTGTGAGCTGATCCTGTGTGAAAGGAATATAATCAGTGGATAACCTAGTCCTGTGTAGCCCATTCTTACATTCTAGGTATGGCACAGAAGATGAAAGAGGAAGAATTATGTTACCCTGATAATTAAAAAAAAAAACCCAGAGCATGTGTGAATCTCCTTTCTCCAACAGCTTTGGAGAATAGAATAAGGAGACGTTTATTACATTTCTACAATTAACTAAAAATAATCACTTATAAATAACTATCATTGAGTGAATGCTCATTGATAAACTTGGTTTTTTATGTGTTTATGGTTTCTGTTAGATTTGGTCTGCAGTAACAATAAATCTCAGCAACAGCTATAAAGGATAATCTATTCTCAGAGATAAATGGATTTTAATGAATTTCTTATACAGGTAGTTCTCAATTTACAACCATTCACTTAGTGACTGTTTGAAGTTACAACAGCACTGAAAAAAGTGACTTATGACCATTTTTCACACTTATAACCATGGCAGCATCCCCCTGGTCATGTGATTCACATTTGGGTGCTTGACAATGGATCCACATTTATGACAGTTGCAGTGTCTGGGAAACCAGAATCATTTAACAACCGTGTTACTAATTTAACAACTGCAGTTATTCAATGTGCAGCGCACATTAACAAATCTAAAATCTAAATCTAAAAATCTAAATCTAAAATCTAAATCTAAAATCTAATGCAAATTAAAAGAAAGAAGAATAGAAAGAAAGGCAAAGGTGCAAAAGAGAAGGAAAAAAATGTAGAAAATAGAAAGTAAAACTATAAGACAAGACCCTCTTGGTTTATTAGTCCTTGGCTGATAAAATGTGTGTGAGCAAAGAGCTTTTCTATTGCTTTTCTCAAGAAGGGATTAAAATGGTATAAAGGTCTCACTGGTATTAAATATTTTGCAAAAATTAAGTGGGCATGGGCTTAGCTGGAAAAAAATTATTTAACCTAACGCAGATCTTGTGGTGCAGTTTTAAAACTGACTTCTGCACGTTTAACTGGCTGTATGTTTCATACAGGCTAAAATGACAAATGTTTTTTGGTTCTAGAAGTTTTGGGGTTGGGAATGGTTTCTTCTGTTATGTAAAAGATGCGTGGATTGATAATTGAAGATGGACAGGCGAGTACAAAGATTACAGATGATGGTTTTTACATAATGGATAAGCCACAGTTAAGCATCTTATTCAGATTCAAAAGATAAATAGCCAATTAGGGTCTTTTCAAGCTTCCTTATTTAAAGGCAAGAACAGGGCAGTCATCTATAGTCCAACAAGAGCAAGAATTATTTGCAATGAATTCCAGAAGCTCCAACAAGATATCAAGGTAGGTTTTTCAGAAAGTTTGTTTAGAACGTCTGTTTTCTTTTTGCTTATTTAAAAGAAATGTCATGTTCCTTAGCAGATATTAATGTGATCTTAAAGAGTTGTCTCTATTGTTTTCATGAGATGAGACAGAGATCAGATAGCTGGCTAACAGATAAATGCCTAAAAGACATTTGTTCTCGGTTTCATGATTTATGCCTAGAACATATGTAACCCATGAAGGTTTTTGGCTATTTTGTATATAACAGAGGTGCCAAACCTTGTTAGGAAAGTTCTTGCCAGCTTAAATCAGTTCACTCTAAGCAGATAAAGAGAATAGAATAACAGAGTTGGAAGAGACCTTGGAGGTCTTCTAGTCCAACCCCCTGCTTAGGCAGGAAACCTTACACCACCTCAGACAAATGATTATCCAACATTTTCTTAAAAACTTTCAGTGTTGGAGCATTCCAGATCGTCTGCAGGCACGTTGTCCCACTGATTAATTGTTCTAATGTCAGGAAATTTCTCCTTAGTTCTAAGTTGCTTCTCTCCTTGATTAGTTTCCATCTATTGCTTCTTGTACTGCCTTCAGGTGCTTTGGAGAATAGCTTGATTCCCTCTTCTTTGCGGCAACCCCTGAGATATTGGAACACTGCTATCATGTCACCCCTAGTCCTTCTTTTCATTAAACTAGACATACCCAGTTCCTGCAACCGTTCTTCATATGTTTTAGCCTCCACTCCCTTAATCATCTTTGTTGCAGATATTGCAGATAAATATTGCAGATAAAGTCAGAACTTCTGGTGTGCAACAGGAGGAACGTTAGTTTTGGGAGAGCTATGTGTGAATTCTCCCCCATTTGGACAATAGATTTAAGAACATTGTCTCAGCAAAATATTAAAGCAACTGAACTATTATGCAAAGAAAAAAAATCATGATGATGATTTTATGAACACATCCAGGGGAGTTTCTTAGCCACATTATAGAAGTGGTTTTCTATTACTTCCTTCAAGGTTATCTTTTTTTCATCTTCTTAGCCTACAGGCCTCAAATTTCGTAGCAGTCTCTCATCCAGGTATTAATTAGCTCTGAGCCTGCTTAGCTTTTTCAAGATTAGCTAAGGTCAGATAGGAGTTATTCTCTGCTGTTAATAAATTGTTAGGTAAGAAGCTACCATCTGTGATATCATCAGCTTCACCCTTGCTGAATGGGCTTTTTAGACCAGTGTTTTTCAACCTTGGCAACTTTAACTTGTATAGACAAGCTCCCAGAATTCCCCAGCCAGTATGCTGGCTAAGGAATACTGGGAGTTGAAGTTCAGACATCTCAAAGTTGAGAAACATTGGTCCGGAGGACTTCGTATTATTTTGCAGTCCTAAATATTCGCAAGACTGGATAAATGGAAATTCTGCTGGGAGTTATTGTAATACAATAACTGGTGGTAACATCCAGTGGTGGGATGCAAGTAATTTAACAACCGGTTCTCTGTCCTAATGATTTCTTTCAACAACCAGTTTGCCAAACTGCTCAGAAAGTTAACAACCGGTTCTCCCGAAGTGGTGCAAACTGGCTGAATCCCACCACTGGTAACATCTAAAGTATGAGATCACATGTAGTTTAGATAACAACTGAACAGAGACTTTATATTTTGCTTTCTGTAAAGTTTCAGTTGTTGGTGAACAAAAATCTAAAAAAAAAAACTTTATCATTTGAAGCAACAGACAGTGTAAAGTAGGCTTTCAGGCAGACTGTTTGAATTGTTACTTCACAACATCACTTCTTCTTCTTGTTGTTGTGCCATATCCGTCATCGGATGTTGGCGATCATGTTGGCAATTCTATTTTTGTCAACAGCTGTATGAAGAAGTGCTGCTGAGTTTTGTCCAAACCAGTTCCTTAGATTTTGAAGCCATGATGCTCTTCTTCTGCCTGGGCCTCGTCTGCCTTCAATCTTTCCCTGGAGGATTAAGTGAAGGATGCTGTATTTTTCTGGGTGTCGCATCACATGTCCGAAATATTCTAACTTTCTCTTTTTAATGGCTTTGATTATTTCCCTTTGCGTTCCCAGGTGGTTTATCACCTCTTCATTTGTGATTTTTGTTAACCCAGCTTATATGTAACAGCCATCTGTAAATCCACATTTCAAATGCTTCTAGTTTCTTCAAGTGGTTTTCTGTCAGAGACCAACTCTCTACTCCATAGAGCAGGATAGAAAAGATGTAACATCTGACAAGCCTGATTTTCAGTCTTAGGCTTAGGTCGTGGCTACAGAAGACCTTTTTCATTTTGAAGAATGCTGTTCGAGCTTTCTCTATCCTTGTCTTTACTTCACTTTACTTCACACAACATCACATAACACAAGAAAACACACACATTTAGTCTTTGCAACCAGGAGAGCCAGAAATCAGACCTTGCTCAGAGATCAAGGTCAACCAAAGGGCACTGCTATTTTCCATAAACTATTGCAATAGGACAAAGGCAACCCAAGAAAAGTTACATGATGCCTTATCTAGCTTAAGGAATCCCTCTGAGAATCACTTATAAGAGAGCATCCCAAATGTCAATTACAATATGGTGCACTTCCTGATCTAGATTCAAAATACGCTAACTAGTAGTTTGGGATGCACAGTGATGATAATTCTCCAAGATGGTGCATTTGATCAAGTGATCCCTTTCCATCAGTTTGAAGTGATGTGGCCAGAGGTTTAACAGGTCTTTTGAGAAACAGGCCTTTTCTCACTGTTTTGTTTTAACTCTGGAGACAATGAATATTGATTAACAGTGAGTTTTTAAATCTCAGAGTTGTTTTTTGAGTGAATAGGCTGCGAAGGTGTCAGAAACAACCACTTTGGAGAAAAGAACAGGTGACTTGGAAGCAGGTGTAAATTAATCAGATCCAGTGAAGACTGGTGTCATTTGCTTTAGAAAGCCCAAGAGATGAATGACATCTGTGATCATAAGCAGATATTAACCGGGGAGATAATAAGCTGCTGTCTTTTGCATTCAAGCAATTGTCTCTGCTGGTGTTTCAGCAACCATCAATCTCAACAATTGCAATTCTGGGATGGTAGACGTTGGCAGGCCTCTTTAGGAAAGCCAGGTTAGAAAAAGCCTCAATGGATACAGAAGAAAGAATAAGATTACAGCCATAAAATTATTCAAAGGGGGAGCTGTGAGAGAGAGGATGAACAATGGCAAAAGGATTTATTCTATCGGTGCATATTTAATGCATGCATGGAAACTTTGAGGGTGAATGGTCCAGGTGAAGTATTCCACCACAAGAGGAAATAATGTCAGAGGTATGTTTAGGATAACCTATGATCTACAGGATCTCACATTTTTTTGTTCTCTCATTATAGCCCTAAAAATTTATAGCCGTCTCATTATAGGCCCTCATATCATTTTCATCATAGTTCTTGCAATATAGTTGAGCTAAATAACCAGAAGTGCATAGCATATACCCCCTGAAAGTTGCTGCCAAGTTATAATATTCCATGTGGCCCAAGACGGACATTATTGCCTACATAGAGAATTATTAATTAATAATTAATTAATCATATTAATTAAGCTAACATAGTCTTGCTTTAATCACGCTTTAATTGTTGCATTTGTCCTCACAATCACAATTTTGTGCTGACTTTGCCTTTTTTTTTTTTTTTGTGGTTCTCATTACATCACTTTAAAAACCAAGGGCAAAATGTTTTGAAAGTCTGAACTAGAGAGATTGTTTGGGGAGGGGACAGCAACAGGCAGGATGTAAGAGAACAACAAGGAGAGCCTGGGGGTGGAGTCAAGTGAGGAATCAGCCTGAAGTCCTTAGCTTCCCATAAGCGGTCTAAGTCCAACCTGTCTTGAATTCCACTTAATTCTTATCTAGTGCTAATTAAACTCTGACCATTAGTTGACTCCATTCTTGTGTATAGATATGAGCAATAAATCAGCTTAACTGGAACTCAGCATGTGTGTTCCTCATTCTTTGCGCCTGACTCAGGCCCAGCTTCCTGCCACTTACATGAACATGGCTGATCTCTAGGGCTGATGCTGCTTTCCATAGCATTTTTCTTCCTATTTTTTTAAAATGATATTGTTCAGGGGGAGTCATCTAGACATATATACTCCCCCCCCACTTTGCTTATCCTTTATTACAACAAAATTATCCCTAAGCTTAAATAATAGGCTTTGCCTACAAAAGAAGCCTCCGCCCTAGCTTCTAACTGCAAAATGCAAAGATCTAAAATTACATAATTGTATCACAGCCAGAGACTGACGTAGTACATTTCCATATTTTGATTTTAGGGAAAAAAAGAGTACCCCTCAGCTTCTGCTCCCTGATATAGTTTAAGAGGAGCTCTTTATGCCACATATAATCATCTACCATCTTGCAAATATTTCATAGTAGATATAGACAAGTCTTTGGCCCAGTAAAATCTAGGACAACTCTGCACATGGTGTTCTCACTGCTCTGGCTCCATCTCCTTTTGCTTTTGTGATAGGTGGTGTTGCTGTTGTGAATGCTAAGATGCTGAGGGCTTAGTTTTCTATTGTAAATGCTGGAACTCTTTGAAAATGCTGTAAATGCTGGAACTCTTTGAAGTTTGGGAGCAAACCATTCCTACTGGCAGGAACTTCAACCTCTTAACTCAGGGGTGTCAAACTCAAGGTCCGGGGGCCAGACCCAGCCCACAGGGTGCTTAGATTTGGCCCACTGGGCTGACCTGGAAACAGCAAAGGACCGGCCTGCAGTGCCTTTGCCAGTGAAAATGGAGTTCGGGAGGGCCGTGGACAGTCTTCCTGAGCTCCGTTTTCATTGGCAGAGAATTGCAGGAGGCCATCACAGCTGAAAACAGAGCTCGGGAGCCTGTTTTCGCTGGCAGAGCGCTTGGGCCGCCACAGGCGTCCCCAACACAAGTGACGTTGAGCTGGCCATGCCCACCCTGGCCATGCCCACCCTGGCTTCCCAAGGTCAAACACAACCCTGATGTGGCCCTCAATGAAATCGAGTTTGACACCCTTGTCTTAACTCCACTTGCGACAGTATCTCGCAGACCTTACCTGTAGGAATGTGTGCCCTGACTTTGAACTCAAAGCGAGGGGAGAATCTTTGTAGTTAAGTACTGGAAGATGAATGCCGGTAACCAAGTAAATAAAAACAAGACATTATGGTAGATAGAGCCGTCTTTTTAATCTGGGCTGAATTGTGTTGCTTTACAGAATGAAATACAATCACTACACCCTCCTGATGACCCTGATCTTCATGATTAATGATTGCATGGGACAGACTTCATGTGTGGTGGACTCATTCACTGTGAAGGAAGACTTTGACTCCAAACGGGTAACTATGAACACTTTCTAAGATCAAGGGCAAAGAGCATGTGGATTGAATTAAAGGCATTAGTTGAAGTCCACGTAACTTCGTGCATGTGAATTGGACTTGGTTTCTAAAATGTGTCACTCTTACCAGAGTCAGGGTTTTGATTTATTTTTTTTTTTAAAAAATCTCAATTTACTGTGCTCCTGGGAACCTATTTGCAAGTCAGTCTTATTCCCTTTGTTTTATAGTTTTGGCTTAGGAGATGCGTATGCTGTATAGTATACGGGATGGGGGAAATGGCCTGCTGTATCTGTTTCATGCCCCTGCTGTAGCTAACTTAGGAAGGAGAGTGATCTCCAAGGCAGGTAAAATAATCTAAAGCCTCCTTCAAATCCAGCTCTACTCTTGCTGATTTCATAGCAGTCAGGTCCATATAGTTTTTTGACAATAATATGAGACCAGTATCACATTGTTTTCTCTTGGTTGTTTGGTTGTGTTGTTTTTTGAAAACTTCTTTCTTTCTTTCTTTCTTTCTTTCTTTCTTTCTTTCTTTCTTTCTTTCTTTCTTTCTTTCTTTCTTCTCTTATCCATTCCATTCCATTCCAATCCACTCCACTCCACTCCACTCCATTCCTTCATGATTTGTGTGTTGCCCATCTCGTCTACAAACATTAATTAATGGCTTTCAAACATTAAAAGTCAGTAAAACATTACACAATAAATAACAATAATAATTTACAATTAAAGGTTAAGAGGAAGGGAGTGTGGTGCACATGGGGAGAGGTGGGGATCTTCTCTTAACCCATCAACTACCTCCAATGTAATGCACTCCTGTTGGGGGCCCAGGCCAACTGGCAGAGCCAGGTCTTCAGGCCATTACAGAAGGTCAGAAGGGTGGGTATGGATCTCATCTTGGGTAGGGGGCAGAGTACAATGTTTCAAAGGGCAGGAACCATGGCCCAAAAGGCTCTTCTCCTGGATCCCATCAGTCAAAATTCCTTGAACGATGAGGTCCTATTGGGGTGAGATGGTTCCTCAGTCAGCCTGGACCCAGATGAACTTCCCAGTCTATTTCACACTCCTTATATTTCTTGGCGGTTCCTATTTAAGTTTTAAGTATGCCTGACTCAATTTAATTTCCTAGCCCAAAGAAGTGGCTGTTAACCCAGAGGCTCTTCCAGGCAGAACCAAAGAGATGGAGGGGGGCTTTGGGCCATTGAATCCAAAACACTGGGACAAAGTGTCTCACGTAGATAAATGACAGATTGGTTAACCTGTGTCTGTCCGGTTTTTGCTGAATTATACTCTCAGCAGCCCCAATCCATATGCCAATAGTGAGGGATCATGGGAGACATAATTCAATAAATCTATAAGGGCACATATTTCCCAATTCAGCCTCTGCTGGATGGCCTTCCATGAAGAAAACAAGAAGTGTATTCCTTGAACAGTTTTATTCCATTATTAATTGATCCTTTACATTAAGGATTTTCTTAATATGCAACTGAATGTGTCATCTTGCAAATAGCTACCTACAGTAGTGGCCAAAATTGTGGAAACCTTTTGGGAAAAGTGTATTTTTGAGGTTTGATGGCTAATAACACCACCCTTTTTTGAAGTTTCAAGATAATCATATTCCACTGCTGGAATGGCCTGGGAATAGCTCAGACCTTAACCCAATTGAAAATCTATGGAGCTGACTAAAGAAATTTGTTAGTCAGAAGCGACCCAGCAATAAAACCCAGTTAATAGAAGCAATCATTCAATCTTGGTTTCACATTACAAAAGCTGCTTAACTAAAAGACTTGGTTCACTCCATGGGAAGACGTTGTAAAGCTGTAATTCATACTTAAGGTTACCCAACTTAGTATTAACTGACGTGATAATTTTTGTGTATCTCATTTTTTCTACGTGTTTCACTTTTCTTCTTTATATTGTAACTGTGATTCTAAGAGCAAATCCTTCATAAAAGTTATTGCATTACATTCTTGATTAAATTATCTTTCCATTGATATATAATTTTATGGTACTACTCCAAAAAAAAAAGTGGTGTTATTAGCTAGTTTTAGAAAATACACCTTTCCCAAAAGGTTTCCACAATTTTGGCCACTACTGTAGTATTGCCCTCACAAAAAACAGTGAAAATGACCACTTTTTTACTGTAAGAAATAGATTATTACTTGATTCTCCTGTTTGAATAGCTTTCAGCTTTCATTAATTTCTATGTATTTATATTCTGCCTTTATATAAGTTTTTATATATTTATTTATTTATTTATTTATTTATTCATTCATTCATTCATTCATTCATTTATTTATTTAGCGTATGGCTGGTCACACACAATATTAAAACACTTCATTTTTACAGGTTAAAACAATTACAACAATTAGAAAAAGAGCAGTAAGAAAACCTAAGAAGAAAACAGAAATAACATTTCAGAGTTTAATGTCGAGTTTGGAGATCCAGTCAGTAGCTGTCATTGTTACACAGAGGAAGTCCCTAAAATCTCCTGGATACCTTCTGTTAGAGCAGTGATGGCTAACCTTTTTGCCATCGCGTGCCAGGAGAGGGGGGGCGGGGGAGGGTCACGCGTGCACGTGCCCACGTGCATGTGTGTGCAATCCCCTCCCCCCCCGCTCCTGGTACATGATGGCCTGGTAGGCCCGTTTTTCTTTCTTACCTGGTTCCAGATCCTCTCTGTGTATCTGGGAATGGCGAAAACAGCCTTTCCCACTCCCTTGGAGGCCCTACGGAGGCTGAAAGGGCCCATTTCCCAACTCCCGGTGGGACAGGAAGTGACGTTTGTTGCTGTCCCCAGCCTCCAGAACCTCTCTAGGAGTCTGTAGGAGCCTCTCTAGGAATCTGTAGGAGCCTCTCTAGGAGTCTCTGGAGGCTGGGGACAAGAAAAAAGGTCACTTCCTGTCCCACCGGGAGTGGGGAAATGGGCCCTTTCAGCTTCTGTAGGGCCTCCAAGGGAGTGGGAAAGGCTGTTTTTGCCATTCCCAGATACACAGAGAGGATCTGGAGCCAGGTAAGAAAGAAAAACGGGCCTTCCCCACCCCCCCAGGCCCTCCAGAGGCAGGAAACAGCCTGTTTCCCTACTTCTGGTGGGCCCAGAAGGCCCGAAAATCAGCTGGCCGGCGTGCGCATGCGCCCCAGAGCTGAGCTGGCGTGCCCACTAATATGGCTCCGCGTGCCACCTGTGGCACGCGTGTCATAGGTTCGCCATCACGGTGTTAGAGCATTCCCTCACTGTATGTTGGATAGTCTGTCGGGGGCCCCCGCAATCGCATTGTGCTGAAGGTGTCTTTCCCCATTTATACAAGGAGTCGGCACACACCCCATGAATCGTTCTAATTCTATTGTATGTCACCCATATGTGTCGGGGTAGATTAAATCCTGGAAGTATACTATTAGGATTAATATGCTCAGAAATATCTTGGGGGGAATAGCTACTCCACGCTTCCATCCACATTTGTGTGCTGTTCTGATGATCGGCCAGCAGTTTAAGCGCTGTCAAGAGTGGTGGGTTTCTTGACTTTAATCGCCATCTTAAGAGATCAGGAATGTAGCCATGAATGGGTAGAGAGGAATTTAACAGGATCTTACTATACTCCCGAATGAGAGCTTCTTGTCATCATAAGTGTGGAGGAAGTATGTGACTAAGAACTGGTAACCAGTAGCTAGGTGTAGATTTTATGCACCCAGTAATTAGCCTCATCGTATGGTTGAGTTGAACATCAATAAGTCCTGTACGTGAGCTGTTTATCCATACAGGTGCACAGTATGGCTTCACCCACAATCCCATGGTCCTTTTAAGGACCTTTTAAGTACAAAAAAAAAATAATAGCAGAAACAGCAGAAATAACAGAAATATATTTTTATGAATAACTCAAGACAGCGAACAAATGTCTAATATTCTTCCTCCTCCTATTGTCCCCACAACAACAATCCTGGAAGGTGAGTTGGGTTGAGAGAGGGACTGACCCAAAGTCACCCAACTGGTTTTTATGCTGAGATGGGAGTGGAATTCAGTCTCCTGGTTTCTAGCCTGGCACCTTAATCACTAGATCAAACTTCCAACTATTTAGACAGATTCAAAAGATGGTTTCACTGTATCCAAATTAGACAACTGTTTAAGATCTGTGTTTAAATTAAGGACACATAGGCAATCAGTTTGCAAGAGTAGCTCCATCTCTCCATCAGATCCAGTTAATACTTTAGCTTGTAGTCATGTCTTGGGCAGTGTTCATCGTGAAGATGTATTCACTGTCCTAGTAACCTTGCCTATTTTTAAATTTTATTTTAGTATGCAGGTAAATGGTATGCTCTGGCCAAGAAAGACCCAGAAGGATTGTTTCTACAGGATAATATCTCAGCTGAATACACCATTGAGGAGGATGGGACTATGACTGCGTCCTCCAAAGGCAGAATGAAGCTTTTTGGGTAAGCTGCAGCTGCATATGAATAACTACCGTTTCCGTGTATTATTATGCACTTGTTCATTTTATGCAGAATTACATTTTTGTGATCAAGATGGCCAGCGACTATGATGTGAAAGTCACGAAGTGGAAGCCATGGCTCATATAGCCATGGTCATTGAATAAAACTGAGTTTTTACAAATGTAACCCACGACTCACAAATCACAATGACCTATTTCACTCAGCAAGATTGGGCCAAGCAATAGCAATAGCAATAGCAATAGCAATAGCAATAGCAATAGCAATAGCAATAGCAATAGCAATAGCAATAGCAATAGCAATAGCAATAGCAATAGTGTGTTTCTCCAAAAAATAAGACAGGGTCTTATATTAATTTTTGCTTCAAAAGACGCATTAGGGCTTATTTTCTGGTTAGGTCTTATTTTGGGGAAAATACGGTACTAAATGCATCCATCTGGCTGACAATCTTAACTGGGGCTTATATTGGGGGTAGGGCTTATATTACGAGTATCCTGAAAAATCATGCTAGGACTTATTTTACGGTTGGGTCCTATTTTCAGGGAAACAGGGTAGCCATAGCAATAGCAATAGCACTTAGATTTAGTTATAGATTTGCAGCCCTCTCTAAGTGGTTTACAGAGTCAGCATATTGCCCCCAACAATCTGGGTCCTCATTTTACTGACCTCGGAAGGATGGAAGGCTGAGTCAACCTTGAGCTGTGAGACTCAAACTGCCAAACTGCTAGCAGCCGGCAGTCAGCAGAAGTAGCCTACAATACTGCATTCTAACCACTGCACCACTGCGGTTCTTAGGTTAAGCAACCTATGTTATTATTTATTTATTTATTTATTTATTTATTTATTTATTTATTTATCGGATTCTTATCCTGCATTTACTATTTTTTATAAATAACTCAAGGTGACAAATATGCCTAGTACTCCTTCTTTTTTCTATTTGTACCACAATAACAATCCTGCGAGGTGAATGGGGTAGAGAGAGAGTGACTGGCCCAAAGTCACCCAGCAGGCTTTTCACGCCTCAGAGGGGAATGGGCCTCCTGTTTTCCGCCTAGTGCCTTAACCACTATGTGAATTCAGGCATTGTGAAGACTGCAAATAAGTAAAATGAGGTCTGACAGACGATTTGGTTATCAAACTCTTAAACTCAACCCATCAGCAATGTTGGGAATTGTAATCCAAAGGATATAGAGGGCACCAAGTTGCTGTTGCTGAAAATTACATTATCTGTTTATATTGTCTAGCAATGATTAATGTGCATCAATTCAGTTGTCTGTTGTCACTAATGCAAGTAATACTCAACTTACAACAGTTCATTTAGTGATCATTTAAAGTTAAAACGGCCCCCCCAAAAATGACTTATGAACCATTTTTCGCACTTATGACTGTTATAGCATCCCCATGGTCACATGATCAAAATTAAGATGCTTGGCATCTAACTCATATTTATGACGGTTGCAGTGTCCTGAGGTCATGTGATCACCTTTTGCAAATTTCTGGCAAGCAAAGTCAACGGAGAAGCCAGATTCATTTAACAACCGTGTAACTAATTTAACAGCTGCAGTGATTCATTTCAGTGGTTTCTGAATTTACACAATATAACAAACCAGAAAATCACAGAATGACTTAGGTTTATGCGTCATACTAAGCCACAAAAATCCCAACCCGGTTTAAAAGTGCAAATGTAGACTCTAGGTTTGTTGTACATGTTGCATGAACAAAAAGGAAGAACTAATGCAGAACAAATGCAAGACAAGCAGATTGCACTTGGCATGATATGGTATGGCTTTGAGCTATCATCTTAATAAATCAGTCTTTCTAAATCTCAGCAAGTTTAAAATGTGAGAAATTCAATTTCCAGAATTCCCCAGCCACTATGTATTTACTATAATAAACAGTATAGTATGAAATCAGAACAGGATGCGAGCACAATATATTCTAGGCAAAAGAGCAAAATGTTAGTTACATAAGAAAAAATTAAAATTAATTTCAATATCTTTTTGTTTTAGATTCTGGATGGTCTGTGCTGATATGGCTGCTCAATATTCGGTACCTGATCCCACCACACCAGCCAAGATGTTCATGAATTACCAAGGGCTGGCAAGCTATTTGTCAAGTGGAGGTCAGTTTTCCCCCCAGTTTTTAAGCAGAGCATGAGAACAATATCATTTTCCTACCTATACTTAAAATATCTATGGTATATTATTAAAACTTTTAAAAGCGAAGTTAAAAACTAACACAAATTAATATAAAGTAAGGAAGATAAAGAGGAAATGAAAGAGGAAGGAAGGAAGGAAGGAAGGAAGGAAGGAAGGAAGGAAAGAAAGAAAGAAAGAAAGAAAGAAAGAAAGAAAGAAAGAAAGAAAGAAAGAAAGAAAGAAAGAGAAAAATAGAAAAGAAAAAAGGGTACCAAGGAGTCGTTTCCAATTTTCTTTACAATAGTTATTGGTACAATTTACTCCTTTTTCTTCTTTCTACAATCTGTCCTGTCTAATCATCAACTTATTTATATCATTTCTCAGTTAGAAAGGGACATTATCATCTTTGATAATGGAGTAAATATATGGTACATTTATTCAATTGCATGCCATTGATATGGTATCAATGGGGGAATGGAGTGGCTCAGTGGCTAAGACGCTGAGCTTGTCGATCGAAAGGTCGGCAGTTCAGCGGTCCGAATCCCTAGTGCCGCATAGCGGAGTGAGCTCCTGTTACTTGTCCCAGCTTCTGCCAACCTAGCAGTTACAAAGCACGTAAAATATGCAAGTAGAAAAATAGGGACCACTTTGGTGGGAAGGTTCCGTGCACCTTTGGCGTCGAGTCATGCCGGCCACATGACCACGGAGATGTATTCGGACAGCGCTGGCTGTTCAGCTTTGAAACGGAAACAACTAGCATGCGTGTGTGGGGGAACCTTTACCTTTACCTTATGCCATTGATATATCATATCTACCAAGAGCCCTGGTGATGCAGCAGACTAAAGCACTGTTATTAACATCAGCTGCCTGCAATTACTGCAAGTTCGAATCTCACCAGGCTCAAGGTTGACTCAGCCTTCCATCCTTTCAAAGGTAGGTAAAATGAGGACTCAGATTGTGGGGGCAATAAGCTGACTTTGTATAAATATATACAAAAGTATGAAGGCTATTGCTTAACGCACTGTAAGACGCCCTGAGTCTCCGGAGAAGGGCGGCATATAAATCAAATAAATAAATAAATAAATATCTTTAATGACTATTATTTCATCTTCTGGTAGAGAATTCCATAGTTCAATTAGGTGTTGCATAGGAAAAAAAGGGAAGTTTTGAATCTCTCACTACTTTTATTAGATGACTTCAGAATGAGAGAGGAAGAGACACTTCTATTTACTTTCACTATGTTGTGCATAATTTTAGGCATCTCTACTCTACCTGTTTCCAGCTACTTTTTTGAATCTCCTGTAAGTTTATGGCCAAGAATGTAGAGGAAAACTCATGTGTCATACGTCCATGTAATCCTAGATATATCAGAATATTTTGAAATAATATTAAAATCCAATATTATATCCATTTTGAGACTCCAAAGTGCTTCCTCAAAAGGCAATGGAACTGTTTTTTCCTTGAGGAAGAACATTTTATTTCCCTTGAGGTTCTTCTTCCTCAAGGGAAAAACAGTCCAGTTACCTTTTGAAGAAGTACTTTTGAGACAGCTATGATCTGGATGACTGAGAATCTCCACAGACATATATCCATTTGAGTGTTTGCAGTCTTTCTGGCATTAACTTAGTCCTTTGTATGCATATCCCTCTATTTATTGTTGATTGTATGACTCATTGTTTTATTACAAAAATATTCAAGATGGCTTCAGTAAGAATGAAAGTTATGTCCTAATTCTAAAAAACCTCCGATTCCTTCCTGTAATGCCAGAAGAACATTCTAAAATAAATTCAGTTTAAATTCTAAGCAAAGTCACACAACCCACTAAGAATGAAACTTGGTGATGAGGCAGATCAAATTAAGAGGTTTCCAAACTTTGGCAATTTTAAGACATGTGGACTTAATTTCTAAAATCCCCCAGCTAGATGGGGAGTTCTGGAAGTTGAAATCCATACATCTTAAAGTTGTCAAGGTTAGGAAACCCTGCTTTAGAGTATATTTCAAACGGCGGGCATCATGACTTGAAAAACATCTTAGTAATGGTGGAAAAACCTACTGTTATACTGTATTTTCTGGCAAGAAAAATTATGTCACCCTACCTCTTTTTCCTCTCTCCTTTGTGCTGCTTTCTATCTTTGTTTAAAAAAAGATGAGCAACAATTTGAAGACATTAAGATATTAATCCCTCAAATGAAAAATCTGGCTGATCAACTGTTCTCTTTGTCTTTTCAAGGTCTACCAGGGGTGTCAAACTCAAGGCCTGCAGGCTGGATCTAGCCCACGGGGCTGCTTAGATCTGGCCCATGGGGCTGACCTGGAAACAGCAAAGAACCAGCCCACAGTGCTTCTGCCAGCAAAAATGGAGCTTGGGAGGGCTGTGCGTGGCCTGCCCAAGCTCCGTTTTCAGCTGCGACGACCTCTTGCAGCCCTGTGCCAGTGAAAATGGAGCTTGGGAGGGCCACCCTCCCTGGCTCCGTTTCCTGGCACAGGGCTGCAGGAGGCCGTTGCAGCTGAAAACGGAGCCTGGGGGGACCATATGTAGGCTGCAGGACATCTAGCTGGCCATGCCCACTCGGTCCCCCGAAGTCAAACACAACCCTGATGTGACCCTCAATGAAATCGAGTTTGACCCCCCTGCCCTACACTCTCAGGAAGGTTTTTCTAAGTTCTGGATGATTTTTTGTGTGTGAAGAAAAACCATGCAGGAAGGGCACAGGGTCCATGAATTAATACTGATCCTTTCATTTTTGACACGATCAATAGTTACCAGAACTCATTTTGTACACTGGATTTTGTATTCCAGGTGATAATTACTGGGTGATTGACACAGATTACGATAACTATGCCATCACTTATGCGTGCCGCACTCTGAAGGAGGATGGGTCCTGTGATGATGGTTACGCCATTGTTTTCTCCCGCAACCCTCGGGGCTTTGCCCCTGCCATTCAGAAAATTGTGCAGCAAAAGGAGGAGGAAGTCTGCATGTCTGGCCTGTTCCAGCCTGTGCTACAGTCAGGTATGTGGAAAGGCCCAATGGCGCCAGTTATGAATTTGACTTCTTTGGGGCAACACGAGGCACTGATCTATCAGAAGACTGAATTAGATATTGTCTATGAAAAGGAAGAATGTGGAAAGAATGTTTCAGTCTGGGCAATTCTGGTCCTGGCCTCAGATTCTAAGATCATGAAAATTCCCAGTGCATGATCAATACAATTCAGGATAGTGCTTTGGTTCATACTTGCATCAAACCATGTTAGCACTGATAATGTTACCTAGTTGGGTAATAAAACATCTCAAAGACAACCTAGCTCAGAGAGCAACAAGGACCCCTCATAATATAGTTTAATTGGTTTGGCTGTGTGAATCTTAATAAACCATAGGGTTAAATAAATGATGGTTAAATAAACCACACCACAGCATGATGATTCAGCCAAGGTCTCCAACAACAGATGCCCAAAATGCTTCTGCGAAGACTACATATAGAAACCCTCCCACATTTAGTTCAACCACAATTATGATTTTTTTAAAAAAAGCTGTCTCAAGTTTGAGATTGCAGTCATCTTTTCTAGCACTGAATCTCTTAAATAAAACTAAATCTGCCTCAGAATTAAAGTTGTACTATTGCCAGTTAATTTTAAGGCCTGAACCTCAGTTGTAACATTTATTGATTCTCCTATAGATAAAAGTAAGGAATGTAAAAACTGCCTTGTGGAATTGCCATGTACAGAAATAAGTAAAGAAATGATCTGAGCAAATTTTTCTTGCATTATGGGCACTAAAGGATGTTTATTTTGTTTGTCTTCACAGGGGCTTGTTAAAGCAAAACTCCTCCAGTCCAGAGATGAAATAAAAGGCCTAATGTTGACATCTCAAACATGTTCCTCACAAATTCCTTGAATCCTTTTTCCCCCCTCAAAGCACATTTAAGTTCTGATTTCTAGTATTTAGATTTTTGAAAGAAAACTGGCTCAAGTATATAGCAAATTACTTCTCATATTCTTGCATAAACTGATGCATCAGTTTAAAAACTAGACCTTTTTCAATTATCTTTTAATTTAACCTTTCTTGGGCAATATTCATCTGCTATGGCGCTGAATCCTTCAGCAAAAGATACAGGCCTTATGAATGTAATTTTCCTACTGCAAACTTTCTCAAAATCCTATGCCAAGTTTTCTCTCTCCTGCATTAATTCCATCTCTTAACTTATTAATTTAAATAGAAAAATATCAGTTATACACAAAGTGTTTATGGAGATTCTCAGTCATCTAAGTCATCGTAGTGATGATGTGAAATGATGAAGTGCTTTCTTTCAAAAGGCAACTGGCTTTTTTTTTTTAGCAAAACAAGAAAGTCCAGTTGCCTTTTGAAAACACCTTTAGGATAGACGCAAGAGTTATGTATGGAAGGACAAACTATTTGAAAATTGTAGTTCACAGAATACTTAACCTAGATATTGCAAGGGGAGGCTTTCTATGGGGCCTCCACTATTCTTTGTGTAGCTCCATCCAAAATGGACAATCTCCAATATGCTGTTGCCAGCATCTGCTAGAAATATAGAATTGAGGAAGCTTCTCAAATAAAGATCCTGCAGACCATCCACTGTATCTGCTTACCAAGGAAAGAGAACAGCATGGCTTTCTTGTTTTGAGTGTTTTATTCAACAGATGAAGTTTTCCCGGGCAATTGGAATACTGCATCCAGTTTTGGTTGCCATGATGTAAAAAAGATGTGGAGACTCTAGAAAGAGTACAGAGAAGAGCAACAAAGATGATTAGGGGACTGGATGATTAGGCTAAAACATATGAAGAACGGTTGCAGGAACTGGATATGTCTAGTTTAATGAAGAGAAGGACTAGGGGAGACATGATAGCAGTTTTCCAATATCTCAGGGGCTGCCACAAAGAAGAGGGAGTCAAGCTATTCTCCAAAGCACCTGAGGGTAGGACAAGAAGCAATGGGTGGAAACTAATCAAGGAGAGAAGCAACCTAGAACTAAGGATGAATTTCCTGACAGTTAGAACAATTAAATCAGTGGAACAACTTGCCTCCAGAAATTGTGAATGCTCCAAAATGGAAGTTTTTAAGATGTTGGATAATCATATGTCTGAAGTGGTATAGGGTTTCCTGCCTAAGCAGCGGATTGGACTAGAAGACCTCCAAGGTACCTTCCAACTCTGTTTATTCTATTCTATTCTATTCTATTCTATTCTATTCTATTCTATTCTATTCTATTCTATTCTATTCTATTCTATTCTATTCATTGGTGGTTCTTCAATCCTGGCTTCAGCTTTATTCCTTACCGTGCTTGTCTAATTATTTAGCAAATTATCTGGTATTTCTCAGTAGGATTTAGAAATTATGCTCCATGGGGGACACATTTATTTTATAAATTTGAACAATGGGTTTTTTTTGTTTTCAGATGTTGGTTAAAAAGGGCATTGCATTCATTCATTAGCTCATGCTTAAAGATCCTTAAAAGTATTATTTTTCCTATTACCATTTTCAAATCCCTCTCTTGTTCACCGATTAACTGTTTTACCTCCTACATGTGCAGGGCGTAGTTTTTTGATGATGTCAAAGCACATTTTATTTAGATTAGGCAGTTCCTCCTTCTCTTTATTCCTTGGAACATTTTCTTCAATCCCTATTGGTATAGTGTCTTGGAGGTATGGACAAAATGGTCACAAGAATTGTCTTTCTAATGCTGCAATGTAATTTATAACTGTGTAAAAATAAGATCGGTATGAATAAGGATAAGAATCCATTTGAATGAATAAACCTCATTATGAACCTTTCTTGTCCATTTTTGTTGTTGCTCAGTTCGGCTCTTCGGACCAAATCTGCCCAAACTCATACCCATTGCGTCAATGACATTATCTAAGCATTCTTGTCAACAGAAATGTTTCTTTCCCCTTCTGACTAAATTTGCAACTGTAGCTTTAAGAGAGATCATTAAATAATTTTAATAAACATAAAAGTGATAAGTTTTTCTATGGACAACTTGCATAGCATGGGTAGGCAAGATGAGAAATACATCAAATCTTCCATATCAAGAGAAGGGGAAGACTCACATATTGAGTTCATTGGGATAGTTTTGACATAATGTCCAGCCTGTTGCACACTCATGGAATTGTTAATTTAATGACTCTTCCCTAAATATATGAACTGTTCTCCAATGAAAAACACTGGGCTTGTACTCAAAAATGAGGATGTGAAACCTAAATAAGGGTTGGCTTATTTAACCAGTGACAACCATTTCAGATATACAAACTATTATTTTGTATTCATCAAATGAAGCCATTCTGAGAAGCAATTGAAAAGACTGCACTCCTACGAACAAACAACTTGTGGTTGTTTGTGGTTGTACAGAAACCTCCACTTCCCTGTTTAACACTTCCTTGAACATTTCATGCTTGCAATGATGCTGATGTAAAATATAACATTTGTGTACTTGTCATTGTAGGAACAAGTCGAAGCTCTGTGTATAAGCATGCCTGAAGTAGAATTTGATGATATAACTTCCACAAATAAAACGTGCCCAGGCCATGCAAACCCCAATTACTCCCATATAGGCATATATGCAACTTTGTTTTTACAGAAAACTAAAGGTTTTCTGTAAACCTTTAGTATCAAAGCTGAACATTTGAATTCTTACAATCAAAATGAAGGATGTTTTTGCCGATGAAGGCAAAGATTATTTCTAAACTTTCAAACCTTGTATGCTTGGGCAGGTGCAAAAAAATTTAGCACCATAATTTTTTCCTCTTAACATTTTCAATTATAAATTTAAAAAATTTGTTGGACTCTGATGCCTTTATTTTTGTTCCCCACCATGACCAGAAAATTATTATTTTTTTCTCATTTTTTAAAAAAAAGAATTGGGAATCTTTACAAACCCATTTGGCAGTGGGTCACTTAAGAAAACCTAGTAGGCTTGTATCTGGGATGATACTTGAATTGAGATTGCCCGATTCAAACTTCTCACCTTGTTTCTGTCTCAACACAGTGCATACTTGTAGTTTTAGCCCTAGTTGAAAATCCCTAAGCTATAAAGCTGACAGTGCTGAGTACAATTCAAGGACATTCACAGGTGTGGTCAAAACCCAAGATGGCAGCCATTACTATGCCAGGGCATGGTAAAAAAAATCAAGATAACGATGATTACAGTGCAATCAAAGTTTTGCAATGTACGTGCAAAAGAGGTACTTCGATCGCACTATTGTAATCACCATCTTCTCTTTTTTGGACACACCTTATTTATTGGAATGGCATGCATTTTCTAGGAAGGCATTTTTAAATATTCTGACAGGAAAACCTCACCCATCTCTAAGTAAACTCTTTTTCAGGTAAATAAATATTTATTGAAAATACAATCCCTGTGCTAAAATTATCCTTGTTTAAAACAAGCTTCACAGAGATGTTTCTCCTTATACAAGTATTCAAGCTGGGCTGTTCATAGCTTCTGCTGCCTTCCACTCTTTGGAAGGAGGTTTCCTTCCACTTTCTTCCTGATGCTGTAAAAAAAGGGAATGTGTGATGTGTTTGAATGATGCCAAGTTTGAAGAAAAGAATGAGGTGGAGGAAGCTTCCTTATTCCAAGGCTTGGGTAGAAGCTCAAGAAGAGGATCTGTCAGGGTTCCAAGTAACACCCCCAATGAAATCAAACTCCGAGGCCTGAATTTCCTCAAAGCTAACTTTTATTAGAGATGTCATATTGGCACATCTGGGAAAATCTGAATCTGAGAGTTTCCGGATTTTCCTCACCCAAAAGAAAGTTCAAGTCCTTGCTCATTATCCACATGTCCATCACACACACCAATCAGGTACCCTCCGGAACAGAAGATACCTCCCCAGTCTTCTCAGCACAGCTGCAGGGCAACTCGGCCTTGACTTTCTGGAAAGAATGTTATTTTGACTACATATCATCTTCACTCCATACAATCCCCCCTCCCATTTTCCCACAGTAGAATTTGTGGCAGGCCTGAAGGCTCAAAGGTAAAAGATGGCTTCCAGGTCTGACAGGATCTTCTTTGAGCTGAACTGGATTATGGGAATGAGTGCTCATGTTGTCTATGAACCCCACATGACAGAGATCCCCAACTTTTCCAGTTGTGTGAACTAGCAGTGGTGGCGGTAGGGGAAGGGGATGGCTTCTCACACATACTGCTTGCATGAATGCAGCTTCGTGCATTCACCTGATGCTTGCATGGCCCGGTTCCCAACAGGCCTGGGCCCAGCACAGGGCCACGGAACAGAGGTTGGGGGATCCCTGGACCATGATATTGTGGCTGGAATTCTAAACGGCACACACTTATATGGTAGCTTTAAGGAAAGGTTAACAAATCCATCTTGTTTTCGTGCAACCCAGATTCTGCAGCTTCAAATTATCATTATTTCACTCAAGGTAATAATTGGACGTTCTTGTTGTCAACTATGGCAGTCTAGGGGAGAAAATGGAGTTGAGCAGTGCTCTACTTTGTTCTCATAATTTCTGGGATGTAATTCGAGGAGAGTGCTTAAAAATGATCTGGGAGAGAAGAGTTTCTCCATATTATTATGGAGGAAGAAGAAGAACAGAAAACTCAGCCAACAAAAGGAGAAGAATTTTGCTAAGAACAACAAAACCATCCTTTTAAGGGTTATGGTTTGCCTGTAATAAAAAGCTTAAAACTGCAACTTGCAGTTTTAACCATCCTTATATAACTTCTGATATACCAGCCTATATAACTTCTGATGAACGTTTTTGCTTCTTTTTAAGATGGTTCTCTGTAGAACATAGGCACAGAAAATGGACCTGGCCTGTCCCAGTAATCCACAGCACGGATTTTGTAATAGCCCACGAGTGTTGTTCCTGTAAAAGAAAACCCAACAAATAGAGAAATCGTGAAATTTTAATTCCTTTACGAGTTACTCCTAAATTGACTGATCAGGCTGAAATATTTCTATAAATGCAATTGTGACTGATTATTTAATTTGAATCCACATTAAGAATATTCTGTTATAAATGAAATTGCAAATCTTCTTATCTTGGATTGACAATTCCTGAAATCAATATGTCAATCCATTTATATTTTAAATATGATTTTCTGCATTAAAATATAATGAAGAAAACTTGTTATCAGTGGAACAGAATATCTGAACGATATAGGCATCTGGATTTGCATTCCAATACAATTGAAGAGACTTTCAAAGTGGAGTAGGGAAATTTGTTGGGGATACATATCAATAGTAGGTGGGGCTACATTTCCTCTCTAGCAGTGGTGGGTTGCCCCGGTTCGCACCGGTTCTATAGAACAGGTAGTAAAACCGATGGGAGGCCCTGTCCACCAACCCCAATGTCACCAAAATGCTTCTGCGCATGCACAGAAGAGCGTGCGCACGGCCCCGCTACGAACCAGTAATAAAGGTAAATAGAACCCACCCCTGCTCTGTAGGATCCTTTTTTTCATGAAACAGGCAGGCCCCTTTCATCAAAGATCTAAATGACTATCAACCACAGGATATCTGAGATTTGAAAATTGTGGGTGACAAGGACTGCAGACTCCCCCCTTTAAATTCAAGAAACTCTCCTCCAGAAAATACCATGCAGAAATGTTTATAAATCTTCCCTTCAGTTCAAAAATCAATTTAAGATTTGACATAAAACACTTAAAGAAGACATATATTTTATGCATATGTTCATCATTTTTCTTCAATTTCCCCCTTTAAAAATGTTCCCTTCCATAAACTGCCTCTGGAGGCTTCAAAACATTATGGATGGAAATGAAGGTGTCATTACATGTTTCACTAAATAAGGATCTAAGGAATGTTTAGATCAGCAATCCTGAAACAGAATTTTAGGGAAGATCTTAAAGACACTGTTCAAAAAGAAATCTATTTTCCTGATTTAGAAAAAGGCTTAAAACGAAAGCTTTCCTTCCCAAACCAACTAATTTATATTAATGTCTATAGTTTTAATATGAAATACAGTGGTCATAATAAATAACATTGTAAATAGTTTTAGTAAGAATGGTAGTTTCCAATTAAATTCCAAAGACATGCTTGAGGTTTTAAACTGAAATGGCATTTGTTGTACCTTAAAAAATGCAGGAAGTGGTTGTTGTTTTTTTTACCTGGGCTGTAGATGAACATTGTAAATATACTGTCCTTGACACTGATTTGGTGATACTCATTCCCATCCACTGAAAACATCACTTCAAATTTTTTCAAACATCTGTGTAAAAATACACATGCATATTTATCACAAGGGTTACAGGGTTATTTTTATTTTTTCTGCAGAGTAAAGGGGTTTCTAGGAAAAGACTATAGAGAATTTGAAAGTATTTTCTCAAACAACTTTTTTTTAAAAAAAGCAACAAGGGGAGAACCCAAAAGGTGAGTACGTCTCTGCATAGTACAGTACCAATTACAAAATAAAATTAAAAAAAGATCTATTCTCATGAATTGGACAAAGAGCTGCCTTTGAGATTGATAAATACATGTTAAATATTAAAGCTGATATTATTACTACTACAGTTGTGTCAGCACCATAGTGTTTCTAGGTTGAAAGGATTGAATGGTGACATCACTGTTGCCCGGGGGACACCTACTTGGGGGCTCCTTTCATATCCCTGTTAACTTGCCCACCAAAGCGGTACCCATTGATCTACTCGTGGTTGCCTGCTTTCGAACTGCTGGGTCGGCAGGAGCTTGAGGGTGTGATGGAGCTCATCCTGTCCCACAGCAGCAACCTGGTTTTGAACATGAGCCCACCAATTGTCAGCCCAGTGTCTTAACCTTGTGAGCCACCA